AAGCAATGTCAGCAGCTTTTGCAAGCATGCAAGCAAGGCCCCAACGGCAAGACCACCATGCGAGGATGAGTGCCGACCACCATACGGCACCGAACATGCATGCATGTCGAGAATCCACCGTCCTCTGCTACGCGCCACTGCCACCGTCCATTTGCATGCCACGTACAACCAGCAGGAAGCCGTACTTCATTTAATGCATGCAGTTGCTTCACCGATCTCATCTGAGCCGTGGAATTTTGATCCAACGCACCAAATAAAAAGAACTTACGTTGACATCCTATAAGGCCACCGATTCGGCGTGCCTTCATATCTTTAATGTCATTCTTTGAAAATAGTTCCTATGAAAATAAATTTGTATCTATTATTCCTAGCATGTTGTTTATATTTTTTTAAGAAATTGAAAAGTTTGAACTTTTGGTGAGCTATGGGGTTATTTTTGCAGAAATGCTACGTGCCGGCCATCCGATGGACCGCACAAACATTGGACGGCTTTTTCACCCCCACCGTTTGCTCTCGCGTGCATGTATATTAAAAAAAACTTTCCCTTCGCTTCCTCCTCCCCATCCTTACCCCTTCCCGCCTTCCACGCTCTTCATCCCCTGCCACAGCGCACCAACGCCCCGCATCCTCCCCCACCCTGGCGAGATCCATGGTGCACGAGCGAGATCCACTCGCCTCTGACATGATCCATTGAGCTGACATGGCGGTGTTGTAGCAGAGTGGACGGCTCTCCCTCACCCTGGCACGGCGCCCTCCCCACCCCGGCGGTGCCCTCTCTCACTCCGACGACTAAGCTCCCTCCACCCCAGCGGTCATGGCGCTTCCCGCCCCCATCCACTATCGGCGAGATAAGCCCGGTGCCGGTGGCACTGGTGGTGGTGGTGCTCGCGTGCACCGCTGGTGCTAGTGCTGGGTGGTGCTCGCGCGGAGCCGCTCGCCACCGGCTCCCACCCCGTCGGCCGAAATCGACAGGCCCAGGCATCTCTCCCCTATGTTCCAAATGTATGTTTCAATTGTTTTAGATGTTTTAGAGGCATGTTCAAATTGTTTTATATGGATGTGCAAAAGTAGATTGGGGGGTGTTGCAATTGTTGCAAGTGTGTCAAAGGCATGTTGTAAGCGCTTGTTCAAATTGTTTCATCTGTTTCCAGACGTATGTTGCATGTTTTGATCTAGATGTTGGATATGTTTTCACACATATGTTGCAACAGTATGTTCCAAAAAATTTAATTTGTTTCAATCTTCTGTTGCAGCAAGTGTTTTCATGTTGCAAGTTGTAAGTGTTCTATCTAGATGTTGTATATGATTTCACACATATGTTGCATGTGTATATTTCAGATGTTTCATCTGTTTCAGACGTATGTTGCATTCAAGTGTTTCATGTTGCACGTGTTTCCTGCTGTTCGAAGCATTAGAGGGCGCCGGGGAATAGGGCGCAGTGAGCCGGTGGCCGGCAGATGTAGCGTGTGGCGCGCTGGGGGTCGGCGGTTGGGGTTGCGCCTGTGGGGGCGGGGGTGAACAAATGGGGATGGGGGCGGGGTGCGCTTGCGGGGGTGGGGCGGACGGATGGGGATGGGGGCGGGTCAGGCGTTGGGGCGGGCTTGCCAGGCGTACGGGTGGGCATCCGATGGAATTCATCCCCATCGAACGTCCGTGCACTAGCATTTCCCTTATTTTTGTTTGATTTGTCACCCACGAGCCATACCAATACTTTTTTCGACCAGCCGATCAAGGGCTCGACAATCCATATGAAATGTATCGGTCCGAATCTAAAGATTTAGTATCAATACCGTAACCTTATCTCAATACTAAAATTTAGATATACATGATGTCGATGTCCAGCCATATCATATCCTATCCTATCTGAAATATCTATAACTGAATCTGAGATTTACTGTAGCCATAGGTATCTGACTGTATTTGATCTGTTACACCCGTTCTCGTTTCTTTCTGTGTTGCCGAGGAACAAGTTCAGGCTCGTATGAATGAGAAAATTCCCTATTTAGCATCACAATATGACATGGTTCCTTATTTAGTATCATAAGATAAAATTTTCTTAATATAGCATTGGTTTTATTTTTGATTCCTATAAAGCTCTGCCATTAGATGTGACCTCTAACACCCTCAAGTACGAGGGGAAAAGACAATTTTACCCCTGTTTTATCTGTAGCACCATCAATATGTTAACAATGATATTTTATTGCACAATTTTTTTTCAAATACAACTTTTTTGGACCATGAATATTTTTTATAGTACATTTTTTGTGCATATTATTTATGGCTATACAATTTTGTGGATAATAAATAATTTTTACCATACCAAGCGTACATTAAGAATTGTCATAAATAATCTGTGCAAAAAGAAAATTGTACTACCAAAAAAATTTCATGGTCCAAAAAAATTGTATTGTCAAAAAATGTTTAATTTTGTAATAAAATGATATTGTCAAAAAAAAATCCGTACAATAAAATTTAGCTATTAACATAGTGTTGTGGCTGCACATGAAAACATTGATAATATGGTCTTTTCCCCTCATAGTTGACGGTGTTAGAGGCCACATCTAACGGCAGTGTATATAGGGAACAAATATAAATCCAATGCTATATTGAGAAAAAATTATCTTTAGGTGCTAAATAAAAACCATGTCATATTTCGATGCTCAATAGGGAATTTTCTCCATATGAATTGGGCGAGTGAGACCCGACGACACGACTCCAGCCAATCTCATTTCAGTCTGGACCTCTTGGAAGTTGGAACCTATGATCGGATAAATTTGCTCCATGGAAATTTCAATGCTGATATTTGTTGATGGATACTATTGAATTTTGTCTTCTTGAGATATTCTTTAGTTATTCTTAAAAAAAGGAGATAGTCCTTAGTTGTGGCAATTGACTGCTAGGTACCAATTCATTAGTCTATATTACTCCTTCCATCCCAAATTATAAGAGATCCAAGTGATTTTCAGGCAAAATAAATAGCTTGACAAATGACCACCTCTTCCCTCATTGATTATTAGGATAGGAGTAGTTAAGTTGTTATTTTGCTCGGTTACCAGCTAGCTTATTAGATGACACCAAGTTTAAAAAATCTTAGTATTTCCTAAAAAGACAGAGGAGAGCCCTTTGTCCCGAAATAAATGTCGCTATGGTGTGTCAGTCTTCTTAAGTTTGACTGGATTTGTAGAAAATATCAACAACATTTGTGTTTCCAAGTAAGTTTATTATGTATTATATGACGAGGACATCACCCATCAAGTACAATCCAAGGAGAGGAGGAGGACCAGTGTGGGCGTCCAACTCGTCTACACCATGGCACAATCCGGAACTAATCACACAAAACAGTGCAGCCGTACTGGAAATTGTAGAGCACGAACTAGAGGAACCCAGAGGGATCACTTCACAAGTCTAAGAAGAACAAGGAAGAACAAAGGTTTAAGTAAGGCACTCAGCAGCTCGGCTGCAATATCATGTAGTTTATCAAATCATCAAAAGGTTCATAATAGCTTAGAGTAGGGGATATTTATACTAGGAGGGATGTTTATCAAATCCTAGATGGGTGTGAAAATAAAATGGAGTTTCTGAAGATAGTCTATGTGAAAGGTCACCACGAGAAGGACTCCTGAAGTGGTCTCGCGTGACTGTTGGCCTCCTGAGCCGTCTCCGCTAATTTGGTCATAACTCCTTATTGGGAAGTCCAAATGATGAACCGTTTGTTGAGTGTAAAAGTAGACTCGAAGAGCTTTCCAGTCATGTGCAGCATGCCCCACAAAACTTTATAGATTGTTACAATTTTGCACGGAAATTTGAACCACCGTTCTGTCCTGAGAAGACTATTGACCTTCTGAGCGGTCTTCACTAATCTGCTCATATCTCAACATTGGGAAGTCCAAAATACTTGGAACTTATACCATTGGAAACTAGACTTGATAAGATTTTCAAAATGTCCTCATAGGCCTCCAAAGCTTCAAGGAATCGAGAGTTATGAATGTTCATTTCAGCTGGCCTATTTTTCACTGTACTGGTCCGATCTGATGGTCCGTTTTTCACTGCGTTGGTCCGATGTAGAGTAACTTCCACCTCTTTATTTATATGCCTAAGTACAACCAAAGTAGAACACTTAGGTGGTATAACATTTTCAAATATGTTAAAGTTAACTTCGGCTAGAAGTGAGTTCACCTCTTTTTTGAGTAATTTTGCACGGTTACGAGTAACTGGACCTTCGTACATATGTGAAACTTGAGTAACCGGTGGCATGTCAGTATAATGTAAAGGTTATAGGTCATTGAACAATCATTATTTTTTTGGCGAAACTGAACAGTCATTAATTAATCGTCTTCTCCTTTATCCCATCATTCCAGCTGTCATCCAGACATAGAAGAAATTTCCAGAGCTTGCCAAGGGGAAGAAATGGAATCAGATCAGCCTGACACATCAAGCTGCCCTGCTGATCAGTTAGTTCTGCTTGGTTTTTCTTTAAGTGTCGAAGAGAAGGTAGCATATAATGAAGTATCAAAATAAGCCAATTTTTATTAGGCGCATCATGGATGCATAACATGTTTCCTTTGGTTCTGATGACCAATTTGCTACGCTTGTTGGGCAGGACTTCATGCAAAAGTTTGCAAGTTGGACCAACGCGACGCTGGCGAAAGAGTGGGCCGAAAATGTGACCCATGTCGTTTTGGGCAAAGGTGCTGGTACCTCATGGAGCAGAACATTTGAAGTCCTTATGGCAATACTGCTTGGGAAATGGGTTGTTCATTTCGAATGTTAGTATTTAACCTTTCTGTTGCTGGATCATTTCCATATATGAGCTATTATACTATTTTTGTTTGTTCTGTCTCTACATTTTAGTTCTTGTTTGAACAAGCTGCTGGATCTTATCTCCTTCATTCAGTCCTGGTCCGGTGCTGATGCTTTTGACCTTGCTCTTTTAGGGGGTCGCGGACAGCTTGCAGCTCGCTCCAGGTCCAGAGGCTTCTTATGAGGTAGTAGCATCCACCATGGATTCACTCGGGACAATCAACGGGCCGAAGCAGGGGAGAATCCGAGCAAGTGAAGGGGTATGTAGTAGCATTCAACAAAGGACGTCATTCACTCATGCGTGGACCTAGGCTGATCGCTGCGTTCTGATTCTTCACTTCACTTGTCACTTCACTTGATATGCTTGCAGGCACCGAAACTGTTTTCGGTACTGTGCTTCTGCCTGAGTGACTTCATGAGCCCTGACAACAGAGACCGCACGCGAGACCTCATAGCAGCCGCCGGAGGGCGGGTGCTGGAGAAGCGCGACCTGCGCCTGCTACTGGAAAATCCTGACCGCTCTTCGTCTTCGGTGAAGCCGAGGCCCTGCTACTTCGTGTACGACGTCGACCCGCCCGGAGAGTTCCGCTCGGGCTCGCTGCAGGAGGAGATGGAGGAGGTCAGAGAGCAGGCGGCGGCTGGTGCGCAGGTGATCTGCCACCTCACGGTGTTGGATGCCGTCGCGGCGTATGACGCGGAGATCCTCCTGACCGTGAAGAAGGACCGCTTCGTCACGTCGTAAATGTGCGCATGGGCCGGGGAACGGGACTTCGGCGATGATAGAGGATTTTTCCTTTTGCTCTGCCAAGGACGACGAAGGCTAGTCGATGACGATGTTGATCTTGATCACCCGTTGTTGCTTTGGCACTTGCTCTAGTCAAATCAGTATGCAGTTGGATCTCTGTACTCTCTGTGCCCGCAACAACTATGAATGTGGATCTAGGTTATAGGGTGCAGGAGTGATTATTTGGTGATATCTAACATGTTAATGCTCTGTACTTACGAGACATGGTAATGCCTGAAAAGCACCCGTCGGCTGTCGCACTGCACTGTCCGACACTCCGACTTCTTTGAGCAACAAATGGGACCAGAATTTCACCCCTCACCCTGAGGCACTCCAATTCAGGAAAAAAAGAAACTCCCACAGTCAAACGATCGTAGCGCACATCTCAAATCCAAAGTCATGAATTATATATTTTTATGAAACTCAAATCGATCAAAACATTTACTGATTTTTACATCACAGTCATCGCAGGATGACTGCATGTCGCAACAGTAAAATGAAGAAAATATTCAATTTTTACCTCGTAACTGTCCTCGAAGTCTAGTTTCCTCCCTGAACTCTAAAACGAGCTAAACCACATCTTTCAACTTTTAAAATTGTTCATTTTACCTCTCTGACCTGGTTATAGGTGGTTTTCAAAGGCAGTTTTGTATTTTTTTCTTTTTAATTTATTGCGGCTGAATTTTTGAAAAGTCGTAGTAAATCATAGAAAAATCATAAAATGGAAAATCCAATTTTATTAGACTCTACATGAGTAAATTTACACAGTGAATATATAATATGGTATGCTTTAGTACAAAGTTTTTGTTTTAGCTTTAGATTTATGATTTTCTACAATTAATTCAAAGCTTGAGTTTCTATGGTCCAATTGTGGTTAAATTTTTATGGTGGGCTAATTATGAAATTTTTACTACAGTTAAAGCATACAATAGTTAGATCACCATAAAATTTTCACCACAATTGGATCATAGAAACTGCAGCTACGAATTAATTACAGAAAAACATAGATTTAAAGATATAGCAAAAACTTTGTACTAAAGCATACCATATTATATATTTACTATGTAGATCTACTCATATGGAGTCCAACTAAATTGGATTTTCCATTTTATAAATTTTCTATGATTTTTTATGATTTTTTAAATATTCAGCCAAAATAAATGAAAAGGAAAAAAACAAAACTGTATTTGAAAACCACCTATAACTGGGTCAGGGAGATAAAATGAATGGTTTTAAAAGTTGAGAGAGGTGGTTTACCCAGTTTTCGAGTTCAAAGAGGAAAACTAAACTTCATAGAATAGTTTAGGAAGGTAAAATGGATTTTTTCTAATGATGGAAATCCAAAAGTCGAAACAATTTCGGTGGAGACAGAGGACCTCCATTATCGATGGAGACAGGCCCACATACTTTGTGCAGAATACATATGATCCAATTCGGTGGAGACAGGCCCACATGTGCGCTAGAGCCTCGTGGGTTCGCTCGGGCGCGCCAAGTCAACGCAGTGTTCTGCTTCCGCAGCCTCTTCGACCAGAGTTTTGGACTGTCATGGACCGAGTGCCAACAGCTGGGCCGCGCACGCTTTGGGCTTCCCCACGGATTTCCCTCAACGTCGGAGGAGGCTTTTGGATGGATATCTGAACCCAAAACATTCCCCTCAGAATTTCCTTTTTTTCAACCAAAATTTAGTAACCCACAAATTTCTTGCCTCACAAGAATCACTGGGTTCTTTTGCTCAATTAACGATGCCACTGGATAACCAGTGTCCATACCCAAACCCGTACCCATGCTGTTTGGGGAGGGTATGGATTATCCATTTGATTGTGGGTATGGGTAGGATAATAAAGGTATTATCCATTTAATCTATATGCTCCGGCTGCAGAGCTGAGCGGAGCTCATCGCCTCTGCCTAGAAGCTAGCGGAAGGTGAGAGAGGGACGTGTGACTGTAGAGGTCGTCCATGGCCACTTCACAACCGCACATGGAGGAGGCGCGTACACCAAGCACGGCCTGCTGTCCACATGCTCGGCCATGGGCGGCGGCAGCAACGTCATGCAGAAGCTCCCTCGTCATACTCATGGCGGTCATGGCCACTTCACCCCGGCGCCCGTGCCCCAGCAGCCGTGTAGCTCGACCCGCCGATGCCCTCCAAACAATCTGCGGTGACTGCGCACGGGAGCGAACGAGCGCCTACAGGCTGCAGCGCCGACCGAGGCTGTGGTCGCAGCCGTGCCGGCGGAGGGCGATGCACCTGCTGGCAAACGAGAGTTACCTGTCGACGGGAGAAGGAAGAAACGATCTCAGCAAAAGTCTCTTACCCATTAGATAATCCACACCCAATGGACATTACCCTTATGGGTAATTGAGGATGGATAATTAACGGATATGGGTACGGGTGACCCCGAAGCTTCCCCACCGGCATCGTTGCATCGCTCAATACAATATTCTCATCCATCTCCAGAATCACAAAATCAATAGGAACTAGGATGAAAACGGTATGGATATTTTCCGACCGTATTTGAGTCCGAATCTATTTAGAGAGGTTCAGATCTGTTCGTATTCGAGTCCGGATATTCAACATCCGATACCGTATCTGTATCCGAATACTCAAATCACATATTTATGATGTTGACATCTAATCGTATTCTATCCGGCATGGCTGATACTATCCGTATTCGAATCCGAATCCGACTAGAAATGTAAAAACAAATATAATATCAGTGATATCCGTTCGTATCCGATCCATTTTCATCTTTAGGAACTATATGTTCATCAACTATGACCGCTACATTCTCTGCTATTTCATTCATCTGGGTAGCGAACTAAGCGGCCTGCGATGAGAAGGGGAGGCAAGAAATTTTATAGAAGTATGTGACGCTTTCGTCAGATTTATTCATGAGAAGGGAGGCGAATGAAGTCGCCTGCCTGAAGCAACGACGATGGCCCATCTGCCCATACTTTATATATAAAATAGAACTATATATAGGACGTGTTTGGTACCCTTTTCGGCCCAGCCAGGCCAGCTCCAGGCAGCCAGCTGCATTTGCCCAGGGCAGATGCATGCAATAAGGGTTGTTTGGTTGCATGCATATGTGGAACCAGGCTGAGCTGAGACAGTGTTTGGTTGCATGCATGTGTTTGCAGATTTAAAAAGCCCATGCATGGATCATTGTTTGGTTGGCTGCATACAACAAGTTTTAGTCACCTCTTGCATGTAGTGGTAACATTACCACCCACTAGTTGACATCAGATATTACATCAATTTCCAAATGAAAAAACCGACTAGCAAGGCAATAACTACTGCTATTACAAGTATAAATGAACTGTGGCACAAGCGAAAGTTGCCATTTCCATCATTTTCTAGTAGAGGTGCACTGACAGGTTGGAGGAGAGGTGGGTTTTCAGGTTGATCACCATAGAAAGCTAGCAAAGCTTCATTTCTTGTTTTGTATTTTTTTTAACAGTTTCCCTTGAAACCATCTACTCGAGCATGTGCTTCGGCCCAGCTGGAGTAGACCCCAGGCTCCTTCCCAACATGAACAACATACCAAGCCATAGCTGAACATGTTCTCAGATCAATCAAAAAAAACATCACAGACAATGGACATGTGCTCAGATTAATCAAAATAACATCACAGGCAATGGGCATGTGCTCAGATCAATCAAAAAATATCAAAGGCAATGAACATGTGCTCAGATCAATCCAAAAACATCACAGGCAATGGACAAGTACTCAGTTCAGTCATAAAGCATCACAGACAATGGACATGTGCTCAGATCTAAGAAAACAAACATTACAGGCAATAAGGCAAGTGCTCAGAATGAAATTGTGCAAATCACAGGCATAGACTGGTGCCCATATCAAGTTTAGAACCACAAGGTTCACATCATTGACAATGGACTCATGGTCAGATTACCACCACTAGGTTGATCTAGGTTGTAGGTGCAGGGTTATCTAAGACACTAACTATATATTAGTGTTAGTAAGTAAGCTATGCAGGATCAAATCATCTCCTCAGCAGGGAATACAAGCTCATCAGCAGGCATCATCTCCTCAGCCATAGCCTAATTCATCATTGCACACGCTCAGAGCCTCAGCACAGGTGTATTATGTCAAGAAAAAAACATCATTGCACATGGCCAAAGCCTCAGCATAAGTGTAGTATCACAGAAAATTTATCATCATTGCACATGCCCAAAGCCTCAGCATAAGTGTAGTATCACAGAAAAGTTATCATCATTGCATATGCCCAAAGCCTCAGCATAAGTGTAGTATCACAGAAAATTTATCATCATTGCACATGCCCAAAGTCTCAGATCAAGTGTAGTATCACAGAAAAAACATCATTGCTATTGCCCAAAGTCTCAGATCAATTGAAGAATCACAGAAAAAAAACAGCATTTGTCCATGAATAAAATAAATTACAGGCAACTTAATGATACATAATAGAACTAGAGTGCCTCAAATTATACAGTTACTTCTAGTATATGATGAATGGAATTTAAAAACAAATGCTCAGAATGACAATGTCATCACCATGGACTTAGACAAAAGCTCAGAAAAAGGATTCATCATATACTAGAACATGCTAAAAATAAGACTTTCATCATCACAGACTAGGGCAATAGCTCAGAAAAAGGCATCATCATAGACTAAGGCAATAGCTCAGGACAAAAGGAATCATCACAGACTTAGACAATAGCTCAGACAAAATGGTAACTTCATATACTTGCTCATAATCTCACAAAGTAGGACATGCACCCGAATCCAAGAATACAGGACTCACTATCGCACGGTATAGATTAGGGGAGGGAGAGGGGAGTAGATATACAAAATACCCACGTCAACAAGCAAAGAACACCAGCAAAAAGCCCAACCCAAAGCCAGGTGAGGGAGCTCGAGATCTGCAAGCACACAAGCAAAGAAAAGAGGATTAGCATACACAAAATAGGATTTTTACT